AAAAAAAAAAAAAATAGGGCGATGAAGGAGGAGGAGGAGGAGGAGAGAAGGAGAAGACGAAAGTAAGTGGAGGAGGAGGAGGAGGAGGAGAGAAGAAGAAGAAGAAGACGAGAGGAGGAGGAGGAGGAGGAGAGAAAAGAAGAAATGAGGAGAGAAGAAGAAGAAGACGAGAGGAGGAGGAGGAGGAGAGAAAAGAAGAAATGAGAGAAGAAGAAGAAGACGAGAGGAGGAGGAGAGATAAGAAGACGAAATGAGGAGGATGAGGAAGAGTGAAGAAGAAGACGAGAGGAGGAGGTGGAGGAGAAGGAGAAGAGAAAAAGAAGACGAGAGGAGGAGGAGGAGGAGAAGAGAAGACGACGAAATGAGGAGGAAGAGGGGGAGAGGAGAAGAAGAAGACAAGAGGAGGAGGAGGGGGAGGAGGAAGAGAGAAACGAAGAAGACGAACTGAGGAGGAGAGACGAAGAAGAAGACGAGAGGAGGAGGAGGAGGAGGAGGAGGAGAGAATAGACGAAATGAGGAGGATGGGGAGTGAAGAAGAAGAAGACGAGAGGAGAGAGGAGAGGAGGAGGAGGAGGAGGAGGAGGAGAGAAGAAGAAGAAGACGAGAGGAGGAAGAGGAGGCGAGAAGAGAAGACTAAATGAGGAGGAGGAGGAGAGGAGGAGAAGAAGACGAGAGGAGGAGGAGAGGAGGAGAAGAAGACGAGAGGAGGAGGAGGAGGAGGATCTGCCGGTTGTGTCTGGTGATGACGAGGGAAAAAAAAAAAAAAAAGGCCGATGGAGGGAAAACAAGAAGACGAAATGAGGAGGAGGAGGAGGGAAAACAAAAAACAAAAAGACGAAATGAGGAGGAGGAGAGAAGAAGACAAAGACGAGAGGGATACAGAATCTGGATAAAAGGCACATATCTACACAGTCGTTCAGTTTCATATCCATGCAAACACACCTGAATGGGACCTTCAATCATCAAATCAGGTCTCTTCTGCTTTGCTATTGCCGCTGCATCAGCTACCTTCTGTACAATGGGTCCTGCAAGGCAAACAAACATCGAACATGCAAAAACCAACCCTCTCAGGCAATTTATCGACTTGTTCCACAAAATACAAACCCAATCCTTCAAGCCTACTTGTCGGGGGCTCCTCAAGGACAACGGTCTATGAATTTAGCCCCACAATTGTTTGCACAATGGTACAGCTTTCCATATCGTAGACAAGATGGGCCAGCACCGTTCCACCTGCGTGAATTGCTGCAATCTTGAGAGAGAGAGAGAGAGAGAGAGAGAGAGAGAGAGAGAGAGAACAGCCGTCACAGGCAGGCAGGCATGCTTGCAGACAAACAGGGAGGCAGGCAGGCAGGCACACAGACAGCCGGGCGGATCAACCGCCCACCCGACGGAAATCCGCACGACTCTTTTCATTAGGGAGAAGTCATTCCTGTTCAGGTAGAACATTCTGCCGGGGTCCAGGAGGTTGAATTCCGTCATCAAATGGAGAAGTTTGGCGGTGGCTCTGAACGAGACTATTCTGACTGCAATTTCCAATCCCGAATACTGACCACTAATCAACAGGAAAAACGAAAAAGAAAAAAGAACTCTCCTTTATTTTTTTTTGAATGTCTGTCGATCGTGTGTCAGTGAGGCACTGCCAGTGGGTTATCAGATACCCAGCTGACAGGTGAGGCATCGGTGAGTAAGAAGAAGAAAAAAATTCGGAAGAAAATAATTTTCGGAATTGCGTATTTTTGAATTTACAAAAATCATTGAAAAATGTGAATTTTGAATTTTCAGAAAGTAGCAATATGGGAAAATTTGGGAGTTCCGAACTTTTCTACTTTCGCAAAAAAAACAAGTACGAAATTTGAAATTACCGCAATCTACTACTTTGAAACGGTATTCACCTGTTAGCAGTAGCGGATGCAGATCCCAGGGCTCGATCCCTAGTTCTCACCTTACCTCTGTACAGTACCTGTGTCGTCCCGGAGAGTTGAACCCGTGACCTGTGTATTCGTAACAGTTTGTAGGGGTTCGATCTGTAGACCTGTCGGATAGAGGTCTTAGGGAGTTCTAGAAGTCGTAGCTGTAGGACTTCTGAGAGGTCAAGGTCGTAGCTGCTACAGTTCTGAAGGGTCAAGGTCGTAGCTGCTACAGTGTCAAAGGGCCAAGACTTCCGGAAGGTCCAGAAGTGTCCCTTCAAACGTTGCTCACAGTAGGCCAGAGGCAAGTGGGCAAGTGGGGAGTCCACCTGTGCTGAGTCAGCAGTACCCAGTCCCAGTCTCACTAAGTCCAGTTTGCAAGTACCATGTGGGACTGTGGGCATTCAGGGCCCGGGGGACAGAGGCAGACCAACGAGTTACAGAAGTATAAATCAAGAGGCAGCGCCCAGCCATTCATTCATTCCTGTGTAAGCCATGCGGAAGCGCTGCCATAGCGACTTGTGCGAGGTGGTCTGCAGAGAGCCCGAAGACGAGGTGGGCAGAGTAGAGGGCGTAGCCATAGCCAGCAGGGTTGAGCGGCCATAGCCGCAGTAGGTGGTAGGCGAGTGCGGAGTGTGCGTGTGTGTGATACAGTGTGTCGCGTGTGGGATATCCAGGGTGATCCTAAGATGAGTGTGTGTAAATAGGGAAGTTGAGCACAGAGACGAACGGAGAGTTGTACAGGCGCTGTCATAGCCTGTTGTAGCGAGCAAGTATCTGAACTGTGTTTTCGACTTCCATATCTTTGAGTTGGAGTGGGCGCTGAGCGCCAGTGTGACTTGCAATCTGTTTGTGTGAATGCGAAGCGTGACAGAAAGCGAGTCTGATTGCAGCTTCGCCGTTGATCTGAAAAACGAAATTCTAAAAAAAAAACGAAAATTTGGGGTAATGATCCCGATAATCTTGATTAGCCCTAATTGAAAATCGCAGATTTCACAAACGTCCGGAATTCATGAAATTCGCGAAATTCCAAAATTTGTTGACTTCACAGAATTTGCAGAAATCTTGGAATTCCAGAACTCGCAGAATTTCTGGAAGTTCAATCCTTCCCTTCATGCTAATTCGAGTTAATAAAAAAAAAATCAATCAATCAATCAATCAATCAATCAATCAATCAATCACTGACAATCAGCTAATTAATCAATCAATCAATTAATCAGTCAGTCAATCAATCAATCAATCAATCAATCAATCAACTCACCAACCGATTGACCGATCTAGATTTTGACACAATCAAGATGGTAACTTGATTGGGCAAATCCTCATCTGCGAGGTCTGCTCCGATACCAAACTGTCGCATGCCAGAGTGGCGCAGACCAGAACCAAGAACCGACCTCTCAAAGATGGAGCAATGATAGCACGGCGGAAGACTGAAATACCAACAATCAGACCCAATCAATGCTGTGACACAGACTGAACATCATCATCGTCATCATCACACGGTGTGAGCGGCCTGGCGCCAGTACACATAGATGAGGGCGCCAAGTCCGATGCATAGACGGACAAGGAGGAGGGAGGAGAGACGAAGAGGGGGAAGAAGAGGGAAGATGTCATCAACCCAGAGTGTTGTCGATACCGATCCCAGCAATAATCAAACAATGGCTCTGCTCAAATGTCAAGTCTGAATCCCAATGTCGCAAATCTCTCTCTCTCTCTCTCTCTCTCTCTCTCTCTCTCTCTCTCTCTCTCTCTCTCTCTCTCTCTCTCTCTCTC